AAAAAAAAACGCTCAAATATGTGGTGTATTGTCATTCACTTTTTACTTACTCATGGGCACTGGAGCACACATTGGCCTGGCCATCTTCCCTATTATGTAAACAAACGAATAGGTCCAGACACTTAATTTCATACTTTTTAACATTCACAGGCTGATATACCAATGCAACACAAATAATACAAACAGTGTTCAAAATATATACAATGTCTATCTGTTCAGTCTGGTTATTCCGTTTTCATGTCGTAACGTTCCTGACATGTCTACCAGTAAAGTTTCCTCACCTGCATCCTGTTGTCCGATTGATCCCTGCTGTATTTACCTCTTGCTCAACACCTTGGTTTATACAACTTGTTAATTCCAATTTGTTCTCTAGTGTTTAGATTTTTTTTTTCCAGTTAATTTTTTTCTCATTTTGTGGTCATTCTGCATCAAGCACTGTGTGCCACAAAAATCACTCAGCCTCACTTCACCAAGTTATAATAAGTTATAATAATTTAAAAAACAAAAACAAAAAACCTAGAGGATTAGCCAACAATAATAAATAATTAAACTAGTAAAATAATTAAATTCTGATATTACTGCAGTGCCTCACAGGTAGTATTATAAGTCGTATTTAAAGTGTAAAAGATGTTCACCATTATGTTGAAGCGTAAACTCCCATGAAGACAAGATGAAACACATTAGGTCAACAACTGCATAAAAAGTTGAGTACTGACTTATTTACATTGTTTGGTTATACAGAAAAATAATACAAATACTACAACAATACTCGCATTATTTAAAGTATATAAGATCTTCATGTGTTTAATCTGTTTTTTCTGTTTTCATGGGAGATAGAATGAACTGCTACTGGATTATAATATTACTGCAGTGCCTCACAGGTAGTATTGTAAGTATTAAAGATGTTCACTAATATTCCAAATATAACAAAACATTTCGAATAAGTTAAAACAGAAATATTTTGGCTTGTTTCTATTTATTGTTAGAAATGTATAGATGTGCAGATGTGTGTTATTCTGATATTCAACTTCTACTTACTACATGCCATGGCGAAGACACCTAGGATGTAAAAAAAAAAAAAAGTCAAATATTTCATAAGAATTTGTTAAAAAGAACTTGATGTTATTTTAGGGAAGCAGAAATATAACACAAACACTACAAACAGTATTTGTGATGTGATGCGATGCAATACAATACTGTGGCATTTCAGAACTTATTATTCACACCTCCCAAATGTGTCTGCAAGTAAAGCTTAGTCTTATTGGTCGCTGCAGCACTTGTTTATTATCCTTTAAGAGCCAGATTGAATGCTTTTAATTACCCATGGCTGCTTGAGCACACATTGGCATTGATTTACATACTACAGGGAGTGCAGAATTATTAGGCAAATGAGTATTTTGTCCACATCATCCTCTTCATGCATGTTGTCTTACTCCAAGCTGTATAGGCTCGAAAGCCTACTACCAATTAAGCATATTAGGTGATGTGCATCTCTGTAATGAGAAGGGGTGTGGTCTAATGACATCAACACCCTATATCAGGTGTGCATAATTATTAGGCAACATCCTTTCCTTTGGCAAAATGGGTCAAAAGAAGGACTTGACAGGCTCAGAAAAGTCAAAAATAGTGAGATATCTTGCAGAGGGATGCAGCAGTCTCAAAATTGCAAAGCTTCTGAAGCGTGATCATCGAACAATCAAGCGTTTCATTCAAAATAGTCAACAGGGTCACAAGAAGCGTGTGGAAAAACCAAGGCGCAAAATAACTGCCCATGAACTGAGAAAAGTCAAGCGTGCAGCTGCCAAGATGCCACTTGCCACCAGTTTGGCCATATTTCAGAGCTGCAACATCACTGGAGTGCCCAAAAGCACAAGGTGTGCAATACTCAGAGACATGGCCAAGGTAAGAAAGGCTGAAAGACGACCACCACTGAACAAGACACACAAGCTGAAACGTCAAGACTGGGCCAAGAAATATCTCAAGACTGGTTTTTCTAAGGTTTTATGGACTGATGAAATGAGAGTGAGTCTTGATGGGCCAGATGGATGGGCCCGTGGCTGGATTGGTAAAGGGCAGAGAGCTCCAGTCCGACTCAGACGCCAGCAAGGTGGAGGTGGAGTACTGGTTTGGGCTGGTATCATCAAAGATGAGCTTGTGGGGCCTTTTCGGGTTGAGGATGGAGTCAAGCTCAACTCCCAGTCCTACTGCCAGTTTCTGGGAGACACCTTCTTCAAGCAGTGGTACAGGAAGAAGTCTGCATCCTTCAAGAAAAACATGATTTTCATGCAGGACAATGCTCCATCACACACGTCCAAGTACTCCACAGCGTGGCTGGCAAGAAAGGGTATAAAAGAAGAAAAACTAATGACATGGCCTCCTTGTTCACCTGATCTGAACCCCATTGAGAACCTGTGGTCCATCATCAAATGTGATATTTACAAGGAGGGAAAACGGTACACCTCTCTGAACAGTGTCTGGGAGGCTGTGGTTGCTGCTGCACGCAATGTTGATGGTGAACAGATCAAAACACTGACAGAATCCATGGATGGCAGGCTTTTGAGTGTCCTTGCAAAGAAAGGTGGCTATATTGGTCGCTGATTTGTTTTTGTTTTGTTTTTGAATGTCAGAAATGTATATTTGTGAATGTGGAGATGTTATATTGGTTTCACTGGTAAAAATAAATAATTGAAGGTATATATTTGTTTTTTGTTAAGTTGCCTAATAATTATGCACAGTAATAGTCACCTGCACACACAGATATCCCTCTAAAATAGCTAAAACTAAAAACAAACTAAGAACTACTTCCAGAAACATTCAGCTTTGATATTAATGAGTTTTTTGGGTTCATTGAGAACATGGTTGTTGTTCAATAATAACATTATTCCTCAAAAATACAACTTGCCTAATAATTCTGCACTCCCTGTAAACAAAATTTTAAAAACTGCTGCAAGATGCGCTGGGAAACAAAGTGCTGAACAGGAAGCTCGGGGGTCAAGTTGCTGATTAGGAGGCATCATGTGTGATCGAACGTTGTGTGGATCTGTGATGATGACTCCCCAGATGTTCTTGGAAATCTTCTGGGCCACAGTGGTGGCAGTCACTACTGTGACGACAGGGCCAGACAGCGGCTCTGAGCCTTCCGGGGTATACACCAGGCTTTGGTGGACGTGGGCCGCACGCAGACTCTGCTCCACCAAACCCTTGTTTCCCCTTGCACATTGTTGGAGGCGGAGCGGGTGGAGGTTAGATGTGTGCATGGGGACATCCACAAATATCCCATAGTGCCGCTGCGTATTTAAGTTAAGGGAAACACACATAGAATAAAGGCTGCAGTTAGTTGGCACCTGTCGCATCCCTGACTTTGGGGATGAATTGGCTGAGATTTAATGAACTTTTGGGCCAGTATGTTGGGATGTGATCACGACCAGTTGTAGGTTGTAGTGTCTGCGTGGTGCTACGTGGTGACGCGGGGTTGTCCAACGCTGACTCCTGGGGAGAAGAAGTGGTGGGTCCTTTTCATGAGGCCCCGCCTGAGTGGATCATTCGCCCCACAGAAGATTTTCCACTGGAGCAGTCTCGTGACGACACCCTACGCTCAGCCTTTGACCAAGATAGTAATTGATGGTCACTTGGTGTGCCCTAAAGCCATGTGGCCCTACCCGTACTTTGTATCATTGAACGAGTAAGCCGTGACACTCGCACAGAGGAGGAACACACCCAGTTGTTGGTGCTTAAAAGCCACCGAGATGCTGAAAATGGGGTTAATAGAAAAGTCGCACGACACATAATGTACGAAATGTCACGGTTTGAGGCCTACCCCATGGCCCAGGATAGACGAGCTTCTGGACGAGTTAGGCACTGCCAAAATTTTGCACAATGCTAGATTTAACCAAGGGCTACTGGCACATTCCCTTGTCTGCAAAAAAAAAAAAAAAAAAAAGCCTTCTGCACTGTGTATGGTTTGTACCAATTCTTCACACTTTTGTTCAGCTTGCCCAAAGCCCCAACCACTTTCCAGTCCCTCATGGACTGGGTGGGGTGGCCTCGCCTAGATGATGTTATCATCCACAGTAACACCTGGGTGCACATGTGCAGCAGGTGGTTGCGGTCCTGAAGACTCTGCAGCAGGCAGGGCTCAGGGCAAACCCTAAGAAATGTGCATTTAGATGGAGGGAAGTACAGCATCTGGGTTAGCACTTGGGGTGTGGGCAGGTGCGTACAGATGGAGAAGACAACTGCCACTGTATCTGTATCCTCCCCGCGCCCCAAGACCTAAAAGGAGGTGAGGCAGTTCCTGGGCCTGGTGGGGTACCATAACCAGTTCATGCCTAGTTTCAGTCCTTTGACAGATCTCACCTGAAAGGGTGCCGCAGATCTGATCCAGTGGATGGAGCAATGCCAAGCAGTGTTTGTGCAGGTGAAAAAGGCTCTCTGTGGGGAGCTACTCCTCCACAAACTTTTCCCTCCCTTTCATCCTGCACACAGATGCCTCGAACAGAAGGCTGGGGGACGCTTTGTCCCAGCAGGTAAGAGGGGTTAACCGCCTTGTTCTTTTACATCAGCCAGAAGCAAAATACAGCATGGTGGAGAACGATTGTCTGGTGATCCGGTGGGCAGTCAATTCCCTTCGTTATTACCTCCTGGGACACTCGTTCGCACTCTGCTCAGACCACGCCCCGCTACAGTGCACCTGGGTCACTAGGTGGTACCTGACTTTACAGCCCTTTAGGTTCAAGGTGGTCCATAGGCCACAGATGGTAATGGACAATTTCCTCTCCCGTCTACACAGGGGGAGCCAGATGCGGCCTGGGCCTCAGTCAGACATTGGGATTGTGTGGCAGGGGTGTGGTCTATGGCTCCGCTGCAGTGGAAGGGTGGTGCAGCAGACTCCAGGGCCAGTCCCATGGAGGAGGCTGAGGTCCAGGTGGAGGGAATTAGGCTCACGAACACTCTCACGTTTTTAGTTATGCTGGGGACCAGCAGAGAGAGGGCCAGCTGCAAGCTTTTGGGAAACATAAGGTGCCGAACAGGAGGATTGGTGGTCAAATTGCAGAAGAGGAAATATT